TTTATACTTTCTTCCAGCTTATTGAAAGATCCTTGCTGTGATGTGGGGATCAGATAGTTCCCACTGATCAAGCAGTCTCCACTGCATACCTGCCTTCTCTAAGGAGTCTCTGGGATAGTGGATTCTTTTCTTGATGGGTGTTGATGAGCCATTAACACTGTCTGGCTATTGATGGCGACTCCTTTGTTGTAACAAAGGCTGGTTGCGGATGTTCCCAACCTCACAACATATTTCAGTAGCAATACTTCATAACTTCACATACAATGATACCACATACAATCCAACAGGATATTAATATTCAACAGATCAAGACTTTTAAAAGGATACCTCACAAGGTATACTTTGTACTAAACATATATCATCATGGTGAATATGGTGGTTCCAGGGTGCTACTTTGAGGTACAGAGTGTCACAATGGGAAATGTTTTTTCCCTGTCCAGTGAAAATTTGAGATATCAAAGATTTTCCTGTAACGTGTCTGGATAAAACAGACCTTTCAAATTCACACCCACACGCAACCTGCCTGGTGGTTAGGGCATTCAGCTGTTAGATGGGATACCTGGAGGAGTCAAGTCCCTGCTCTGAATTTCTCTCTAGTTTTGACCAGAAATTCCCTCCTGGACCTGAGAAACCTTTCCAAAACATTCCTGAAAGTGTTGTGTTCTCACAAAAAGTTTCAGTTTTGTCAAAGGGCATTTTTGATGAAAAACCATTTCATTGAAAAGTTGCCAACTAGCTGTAGCATTCAATATGATTGACTGACTTACTACTACATGAGAGACCTTATCAAACTCCCATTTATCTGAAGAAAACCCAAGAACTTCATTTGATACAGATAAACAGGCATCTACTATACATGAAAAATGTTCAGTTAGCTCAGAAAAGAATTAAAAGATGATTATTCTGTTCCCTTCCCTTACACTAGCTGTCATGTCCAATTCTTTTTTCAAAAACTTTTGGTTTTAGAAGTTACAGCTACTAAGGCCCTGATACTGCAATTTCATAAGGCACATGCTGAAATTTATGATCACGAATAGTCCAGTTGACTACGGGTATGTCTACACAGCAGCTGGGAGGTGTAATTCCCATCCATGTGCTATCTCTGCTCAAGATAGCACATAAGAGTCACTTTGTGGCTGCAATGGCAGAGGCTAGCTGCCCAAGTACAGTGCCGCCTGACCCTCTGGGTACGTCCTCAGGTGGCTAGCTCAAGCTGTCACCCATGTCACCATGGCCACACTGCTATTTTAGCGTGCTAGCTTGAGCAGAGCTAGTGAGTTTATGTCTACTCATGCTGGGAATTACCGCTCCCAGCTGCTGTGTAGACATACCATGTCTCTCTTGAATACACTCCCTTCTCTATACCAATGTCAGAACGTTTTTTAAAGGAGAGTATAAGATTTGTCTCCAACTCCTTTCCATTGATTTCTCTTTTCTATGAAAAATTGCTTGACACTTTGGTGAAAATGAAAACTTGTTCAGTTTCACTCTTACGTTTTCAGCCTGGCCCCTCCATTTTATTTGTGAAGACAAGTTTTTAACTCAGTAAAATACCTCTTCTCTTAATAAAAAGACCCCATTAGTCCCTATCACTGCCAGGATCAAAGGTTATTTCCAGTATTAAAGATAATATTTATCCTCAATTATTTATAAACTTCCTCTCACCTGTTTACTCTGCAGTGCTGCCTCTTGGCTTGACCTTGCACAGCATAGGTGTAAAGGGCTGTGTGTTTAATAGAAAGGTAAAAAGAGGGAAAGGAACCAATATTGCATTAACGAGCAATGGGAACGTTTAGCTAAATTCCTCCTTAGCAAGAGGAGCACATTTCAAGCTATGTCTCCTCTTGCACTCTTGTGGGGGACAGACCTCAATATTGATGCAAAAATTAATAAAAGTTGTAACCTTTTTGTAATGTTGGTTAATACAAACTTGTTTGTCCCTTTACAGAATATTAAAATATACCTACAAAGTATGCTATAGCCAGGATGCTTGAAAACAATACCTGTGTATGGGTTAGTTATATTATAATATGTTCAAGGGAATTAAAGAAATTACAAAAGGCTTCTGCTTTCTGTCATCCAGAAACTGGCTAAGGGCCAGAAAGATAACACCTCCTTGACCATAAAAGGGTTTATGACTCCCACAAGTGTTTACACAGACTTTTAAAAAGCAGCTTTCCTAACTTAACTTTGCCTTCACTTTTATACTATGTTTAAAAGATGTACTGCTTATTGGAATTTGTGCTTTGTACAAAATACTTAATAGACATTTAATTGCTACCACAGATTGGAACTCTAAGAAGCTTGGGTCAAGAAACAAACAAACCAAAAGAATGTCCTATCTACAGGGCCGTCCTTAGGATTATTAAACTGGTGCCTCTATGCTCGACGGCAGCCCAGGCTCGCAGCCCAGGAGGGAAGGCATGAGGCAGCAAAGGATACCGAGCCGCGTGGCCCCCCTCATGGGGGCGGAGAGTCACAGTTTCCTGCAGAAAGCCCTGTACTCTCTCCCACACGCAGAATGCGTGGCACCAGCGCATTTGGCTCTGTGAATATGGCCCCTGCCTAAGAAGACTGCAGCATGCACTGGGTGTGTGGGAGCCGACCGCTCTTACCTACTGTCATGGGCTGTGGGTGAAGCTACTGCTTGGGGAGGCTAATTCCCCAGACCACCTCTTCTGTCTGTGGCTCCACCCATACTCCACCCCTGCTCTGCTCCAGGCCCCACCTTCTCCCCACTGTCTCCCTTCTCTCTTCTTCCCCCACCCTGCTCACCCCCTTCCAGCCAAATCCCTGAACCCAAATGAAGCAAATGACATTTGAAGAAGAAAAGAAAAAGAAAAAAAAACCACTCTTCTGCAATTTCTTTCTAAAGAAAATGGAATGTTTTCCACTGCATGCCAGATGGTGAAGATTGGACATACAGAAGGTACCTAATTAAAAGCACTAAACTAGGGAATAAAAAATGTCAGTCACCGTTTTTGAACCGTTTTTATACTCTGAAGTTTGTCAGAGATGTATTTTCAAAAACTTTGTAGTAAAGACAAGTAAGCTGTCCTGCTGAATACAACATTAAATATTATGGAATACAGATGCAGCTCTTCTCTGTTTTACATTTTTTTTAATCGGTATTTCTAAGCTGATTTTTATCTTTTAAATGTACTGTTAAGCCATCGTAAAATAATCATTCCAGATTACTACATATTTAACTCACTGAAACAAAGACATTATTTTAAATTATTCAATCACAGAGGTTTAGAGTGTTCATAACAAAATTCACTGCTTTTAGAAAAAGGGAACACTAATTTACTGTGTGTGATCTCCATAACAATAGACTTGTTAATGAAATTTCACCAACTTTAAAAATATGTTTCCAAAGATTTTAGGCATAACAAAGGATTTTATATCTTACTAAGATACTGATTTTGCTGGAGATTTCTCTTGAAACTAGTTAATCAAATAGTCAGAAGTAAAGAAAGGGAAACTCATTTGGCCAGCTATCTGAAAGGAAAGGGGTGTTGTCCCTTTAAGGGCTCTCTTCAACAGGGACGTGAAGGGAGAAAGGGATGGATAGAAAGGACAGGAAGACTTTGGAAGCAAGTTTTTTGTACTATAGTAATTAAAATTAAAATGTGTATTTTAGATAAGGGTGGTCTTTTGAAGGATTTATTTAAAAAACTATATGTCTGAAGATCCAAGCATTTAAGGCCAAAGATGAATACTCAAATTGTGCATCTAAAAAAATCTATGCAAGGATTTTTTAGAGATAGGATTTTATAATCTTCAGCAACACACTAATAAAATATTTTAAAGCAAATTTTAAACTAAGGTCCTGTAGACTAACATGCTTTAAGTAAATATTACAGTAATGCACAACGGCTTTTGTCAGTAAAGTCAGAAACTGACAGTATATACCTGGGGGTTGGCAAATGCCTGTTAAATGGCTTCATTACCACTTGAATGGCTCTTTAACAGTTTCAGTGTTGTGCTAATAGGTCTGGCAGGCTGGAAGGCTTTTTCACTTTTAAGTACTAGAGCCCTTCTGGAGTAAGAGTCACCAAGCTGCAGCAGCTAGCTGTGGGAGCCTGCAGGAAGGGTCAGAACAGGGATAGGAAGAGGTGGGAGGGTGAACACTAAGACCCAGGGGTGCCCCAAATTTTCTGGTGCCCTACGCAGCCACATATGCTGCCTATGCCTAAGGACGGCCCTGCCTATCTAGACCAGGACACTTCCCTCTTGTAAAAATGATAAGTTTGGAATACATATAATTCCTTATCTCAAGAACAGAAAATTTGTAAAGAAAAGTGTTTAGGAAAGACCTGGTCTGAAAAAGAATGTGAGGATGTTCTTTACGCAAATACCCCAAAAAGGAATGTGGGGATTTGTTATCAAAACAATAAATCTAGGTTGTAAAGAGGGTATCTACCATAGGTGCTGACTCCATGGGTGCTCTGGGGCTGGAGCACCCACAGGAAAAAAATGGTGGGGGCTGAACACCCACCAGCAGCCCCCTACCAGATCCTCCCCCTTCCCCCAGGGCCTCCTGCCCGCTGTTGGGCCCCGCCGATCAGCACCTCTCCCTTTCTCCCAGTGTCTACTGCCTGCCACAGATCAACTGTTTTGCAGCATCAGGAGGTGCTAAGGGGAAAGGGTCAGGAGAGAGGGCACACCGTGCTCAGGGGAGGAGGCAGAATTCGGCAGGGAAGGGACTGGGAGGGAAGAGGCAGGGCGGGGGCAGGGAGCACCCCCCAGCAGATTAGAAACTCAGTGCCAATGGCCTCTACCAGTCCCCCTTTTCAAGAAAATTCTGTGCCCTTAAAACTTTAGAGAAAAATGTGTGTAGTAGGGAAATGTTTTGTTAAAAACCATTGATTATTTTTTGAATGTTGAAATGGCAAACCATTTTGAAAGGCATATTTGAAAGTATTTTAACTAAATGCAAAGAGTTTTTTAATATCACTGCTATGTAAGTGATAAAATGCTTTATGTACCACTCCAAAATGTAATCTGCCGCACATATACTAAAATTGGAACGATACTGAGAAGATTAGCATGGCCCCTGCACAAGGATGACACCCATATTCGTGAAGCATTCCATCTAGTACAGCTGATTACTAATGTAAAAAGCCATTTAAGTATAGAATATTTATATAAATGGGGAATTAATTACTGTCAGTGCTCCAGTAGCTCCCTCACCCAGCTCAGGAAGACAAGAAGAATGATCTCTCCAAAAATTGTTATGAAGTATCAACAACTTCTTTAGCTTAAATAGTTAAAGACTCTAAGAATTATTGATTTTTTTTAAAAGACTGTTTTTAAAGCTCAAATTATTTTATAAAGAATGAGTGTTTTGACTTTTTTTTAAACTTTCCTGTTGAACGCTAATAAAACTGAAGGAACATTTTCCAAAATGGACAGAATCAAAAGGAAATTCAAAAACTAAAAGTTATCTGAAATGTTCCCCAACAGGACACAGCCAATTAGAAGTGCTCTGCACATTCATTAAGCAGACTGCATATCAAAAGCTCAAAGTGTCAACAAAATCAACTCCTGAAGATGTGGAACTGACGAAAGAATGACAGTAGCCAGCCTGAATCTAAACAAGCCTGGAAAAGGGAGTGTTTTCCTATAATTTCATGAAAATAAGGAGTATAAAAAATTCTGAAATGATCACCCATGCCACTCAGCTACTGTATTCAAACAGCATGCACTCCTCAGCTCATCCTGTCCATCTCTGCAAGCCAACTATCACAGGTACGTCTATACTTACCTCCGGGTCCGGCGGTAAGCAATAGATCTTCTGGGATCGATTTATCGCATCTTGTCTAGACGCGATAAATCGATCCCGGAAGTGCTCGCCGTCGATGCCGGTACTCCTGCTCCGCGAAAGGAGTACCGCGGAGTCGACGGGGGAGCCTGCCTGCCGCGTGTGGACCCACGGTAAGTTCGAACTAAGATACTTCGACTTCAGCTACATTATTCACGTAGCTGAAGTTGCGTATCTTAGTTCGAAGTGGGGGGTTAGTGTGGACCAGCCCACAGACAGCTAAGAAAAACAAAGATGACTCAAGAAGAAACCAACTCAAGGAAAACCTCTAAGATGTCCTCATGGATTGGTGAGAGGAAATTAATTGACACACTGGCAAGGGATTAGAATTAATAACTTGTAATAATTTTTCTGGGCTATGGTAATGCCATTGTAACAAGTTTATCTTGTTAATCACCAAATGGCTATATCATGTATTCCTGGAAAAGATACAGGAGCTAAACACTGGTAAACAGACAAGTAGCAGGATTTAAGATTCTTAATATTCATTAACTGGCCTGTTTGAAGACAGCACCTTAAATGGCTTCTAAGTAATGGATTTAAATATTTTCTTTCATTTCATGGGATTTAGTTGCACTGACAACCAATGCATTTACCCGAAGGCCCGTAAAACAGGAATACCTCACTAACAGAATCTGAATGCAGAGCCAAAATGACAGCTAGGTTGTTTCTTTATAATGGGGTGAACAAAAACCTAATTCTAAGAACCCCAGATTTGTGAGGTGGGCATTTAAAGGTCTGGCTCTGTGTTAGTATCCAAACTTGATGCCTTGATATAGTACACTAGAGCCAAACACTGCTCTTACAGCCATAAAAGCTCATTGATTTAAATGGGTTGCATGATTGTAACCAAGGGCCAGACTATCGCCTTTTGTCAGTAAAATAAGGTATCCCATCAATTTTTGTTTGAGGGAGTTTTGTGGATAGCACAGGTGAGTAATTACACTTTGTTGTGTGGGTTGGGTTATCATATTACTCAAAGCATTTAGAAAGAAGTGAGTTTCTATAGAGGTCCAAGTATTTCTACTCCAGGCTCTCTCCAAAAGCCGTTACAGAGCTGTCTACCATTCTGTGAAATACAACTCATATTGCAATAAAAAAACCCTCATAAAACTATAGGATAAAATACCTTTGCCTTAAGGGCTGAATTACATTTTCAGCAGGTTTTTAGAAAGAAAAAACAAAATAGAGTCAAACTGAAGTTACACTGCAGTGGCTATAATGAGATTTCCTTCGCTATCGGTGCTGTGAAGCAAAGGTCATGGTGTTAATATTCCATAAAAGTTTGCAGCATTTAAGACATTTTAAAAAATCCGCAGACGATCTCAGCCTTTGCATAGATTTCTCTCCAAAATGCTTAATGACGTTGTCAGCATGAGGTGGTTAGTCAACATTCTAAAGTCTGAGCAAAGGTCAAGGCAAATAAAATATGCTGGAAAACTGAGCCCAAGGGTATGCTCTGAAATGTGGTTCTGAACACAATCCATCAATATGTACTCTCTGTTCTATTACTCACATGATCGCCAACCCTGTTTCACTGTAAATCTGTGGTTCAGAAATGAAAATTCAAAAATTTCATGGTTTTGGTCATCTGTGTCAGTTACCAGCATATGATTTATTAAAAAGTATATTTTAATAGATCATAATCCTAACAGATCATAATCCAAATGGCAGATTATAAATCAGGTACCACTTGAAAATATAGTGTGTTTATACCCAGGCTGGTAGCACAGCCTATTATTAAGGGTACCTAACACTTCCTATCATAACACCCTGTTTTCAGTTGCTTTATAACTTCGCCATACATTAACTATTCAGGCTGAAGTTTTCTATGCCAAGTGTCCGCCTTAGGTTGAACTTCTCTGGAAAATTTCAGCCAAAAATATTCAGCTATTCCTGAAAACAGGGATAGGGAAAAATACATTGGTTTTGGCCATATTACATTTGGATGACCTTTTCTTTGAGAAGCTCTAGTGCCACACTGCTGGGCAGAAGAGACTTGAAATTTGGCAGGAGGTGCTTTTTACCATCCCAGTGAAAACCCATCCAAGTTTTAAGCATCTGAAGAATTGCAGTTTGCACATGCTCAGTACCGACTGCTGGAACGTCACAGCTTAATCCCCTGAAGATTTCATCTGCAATGAGCATGCTCCAGTCTGGGACTGCAGGGGGCTGAGCAGGACTTTCCCTGCAATTGCAACACCCAGCTAGCTGCTCTAGGAGCTACCCCAGGTCCAAGCACCAGAACTAAGAGCAGGGCGCCTGTCTCTCCTGTGCTCCTGGTGAATGCCAGGCAGTGAGGAGGAAGCTACCTGAATTGAATGCAGAAAAGACAAGAGCTGGACGGCTGAGGGGTGGGGAGATGAGGGAAGCTGGGGCTGGGAGGAGGAGATGGACTGGCTAGGCAAAGAAACTAGGGTTGAGAACCAGTGGAGCAGAGAAGAAGGGAGACAGCTCTGATGGGAAGATGGTGCGTGAGATAAACTGGGACTGGCTGGTCTATGATTGGGACAAGGAAGTGGAGGGGAGCACTGATATGGACAAGGATCCCAGAGAAGGAGATTGGAGCCAGTGGGGATGGGGATACGGAAAGTGAATAGGGGTGTGATTGGAAGCAGGGGGATGAAGGTGCAGGCACAGATCAGATAAAGGGGTAAATGGAGGGAAGGGAGACATCAGAAAAGGGACTGTGATAAATCAAGAGGGGGTAGCTCCCTTTTATGGACACCCAGCTGGCCAGTAGCTATAAAATCTCTTAGTAGCTGTTCTCTACTTACTTTACCTGTAAAGGGTTAAAAAGTCTTACTGCTATGCATAGATAGAAGGAAGTGAGTGGGCACCTGACCAAAAGAGCCAATGGGAAGGCTAGAACTTTTTAAAATTGAGAAAAAAATCCCCCTTTGTCCATCTGTGGGGGTTCTACTGGCTAGAGAGGTGGACAGGGCAGACCTATGCTGTAAGACGCTTGAGGCCAGGTATGAAAAATCCTCAGTATCATACATAGAAACTACTCATTTGAAACCCCAGATATGTAAATAGATCAGGAAATGTCTAGGAAGACATGATTAGGTTTTTCTCTTTATGGCTTGTGGACTCCTCTGTGCTAACCCCAGGTGTTTTTGTTTTGCTTGTAACCTTTAACTGGGACCTCAAGAAACCTATTCTTGGTGCTTAATCCTTGTAGTTACTGTTTTAAAATCTAGCAATAGTCTGAGTTTCCAGATGTATTTTCCTTTTTTTTTTTTAAATTGTGAACAGGATTGGAGTTCTGTGTCTTAAGAGGTTGTGCACATGTTTTTTTTAAGTTAGCTGATGGCAACAACTGATTTCTTTTTTTCCTTTTCCTTTCTCAGCTCTTCCCCAAGGGGAAGTCCAGCTTCTGGATCCCTAGGTGTTTTAAGCCTCCCAGAGCCTGAATTGAGTCTATGCACTGCCTCTGTCTTGGGGGTCTCTAGGATCTCTCTCAGGGAGCAGACCTAGACCCTGGGCTCAGGGCTGTAGCTCACAACACAATCTCTCCCAGAATCCCATCAAAGATGTGAGCCTTCTGAATCAGATGGTACTTGTAAAGCATGTAAAACGGACACTTTGAACAGAACTCCAACACATTATTGCTCATTTACTTAACAGAAAAAGCAGACAATACAGATCATTTAGAGAACAACAACAAATACAACAAATGCAAACAAATTCTAAATGCAGGGCCCCTCACAAGCCCACCCTTTCCTTGGGAGGCCTAGGACTATCTGGGCTCAGATAGAGAGGCAAGGGACTCTGCCTCATCAGGCAACAGCATGCTGGAGTGCTTCTCTCTCGTCATGGCTGGTTGTCTCCATCTTGCCAAGACTTCCCGTGTCATGCCCCAAGTTCTCCTGTCTGACAGCCTGCCTATATACCCCCCACTCCCACAATGCCTTGACTCTTTTGTTCTGTGTCTGGTAAAGTTCTGCTGCTCCCCTGATCCTCCCTCTCTTCAGGCAGAGAATGAAGTATCTTTTCCCATCTTGAGCAAACTCCTTTAGAATCTCTATTGTCCATTCAAAGCACTGTAAGTATTCCCCGTTGTCCCTGGTGGTTTGGGGAAGACATGATGGAACCCTGCAAGTTCATGGTACATACACATACAGAGGCTTTCCATGATGCAGCCTTTTCAGGATACAACTTCATAATATCAACTAGAATTCATGCAGTGCACAGAGAGCCCCCAAATCATCACAGGAATCCTGTGGAAAAAGTTACAATGCGCGCGCACATACACACAAGGTGTGGGGTGGGCA